TGGAGCCATAGTTAGTGCCACACGCTGGCACCGCTGTGGTGTCAGCAAGAGCTTAACGAAGGGGCCAGAGCTCAGGGGCAGGTTTTGTGCTTGTTTGGGGGCGGGGGGGGGAGGAAAGATGCTGTCCCCTGGAAAACTTGGGATGCTGGGAATGTGTTTTGTGCTTCAAAGAGTGTATGTGGAGCTCATCTCCCTGCCGTCGACAGCCCTGGAACATGAAAGCAGATCAGCTGCAGTTTCAAAGCTGCAACTTCAGTGCAGCCGAGTTGGTGATGAGGAGGATAATTAGCAAGTTAAATGTTCAATGCTTTAGTCAAATTATGTTTAATAATATTGAGCTGTAAGGAAAGAGGGTGGCAGGCACTGTTGGCAGCTGGCTTTTTCATTATCCACACAGCGTTGCTATGCAGAGCACTTTCCACTTAATGAAGGCACCCCGGGTTTGAGTTCATTTTTCAAGCCTGTTCCTGTGTTCTGCTTCACCCTCCAGTAGCCAGCAATTTGCAGGATTGCAAACGACCTCGGAGTATTTTGGGAGCCAGTGGTTTTTCAGGAATGAACGTTGTGCCTGTGATTGGAGCTCTCTTGGCTAACTAGCCCCCGAGCTAGCGGTGCGTGCGGGGGGGCTGTGTTTATGGGGCTGCTGGAGCCCTGATGAAAGCTCGGGCTGCGGTTTCTCGCCAGGGATGAATAAAACACCACAGGGATCCTCTTCCAGCCCTGAAGTTTAAAATATTAATAGGATATCATTTTCCTGACAAGAGTTGCAACAGGTAGTGAGGTCTTTGTTATAAAACATTTCCTCTTAGTGGAACCGTGTATTTTAATGGAAATGTGGTGTCACTTAAATTATTGATATCCAAGAAAATACGAGTCCACTGTGTGTCCACAGGTATCGAAACCTTTTCCAATGGGCTCTGTCTCCACGCTCTGCTGGATCCTGTTCTGCTCTGTCAATATTGCAGCTTGTGGGCGCCAAACCTGCCTGTGCTCCCTGGGGATCCCTGTGGTGCTGGGGCTGGGAAGCACTGGCAGGGATCTGCTCCCAGCGGATCCCAGGGCAGCGTGGCAAAGGAGCTGGGAAGGGAAGTACCAGCAGCTTGTGTCAGGGACCACCACCCTCTCCCAGGGCCTTTTCTCACCGGTACCTGCAGAGGATGAGGAAGGGACAGTCAGGATGGAGGAGACCAGTGATCCGTGCCACCTGGGGAGGTAGAGCAGGAGAGCTCTTTGTGCTCCTGTAGAACAGGGATGTGTTGGGAGGGGCAGGTTGAGCTTGAGCTGGGTCTCGGTGGTGGTGGCAGCCTGGCAGGGCTTGGCAGAGGCTGGGGGTGGCTGGTGGCCTGTGCTGTCCCCTGGCTTGCTGCCACGTTGCTCCCCTGCCTGTGCCCGTGCTGCTCGGGCAGAGATGGTTCACAAGGGAGCAAAGTCAGTCCCTCTCCAGTGGTTCAACAGGCTCTTGTTTGGCTTCCTTACCATGTGCAAACAAAACTGGTGACAAAAATAGCCATGCTGGCTTCCTTCCTGGTAGAAATGCATGTTTAGCCTCTCCCAC